TCCGACGCTTACCTGAGCAAAGGTTTTGCAAAGGAAGTAAATATCCGTTCGATACATCCCACTATGGTTATCTCTTAAAAATACCCTTCGCTCCTCTGGAAATGTCTGGTCAAAAGAAAAAACAGGTAGAGATATGCCATATTGTGGTAATTCTAGAATAAAACACCTCATTGAGATTGTTTTAAGCCACTGTGGGATGTACTTATTCCAAGTGATCCTTTTTCACATTTTAAAATACCTAACACGAAATACAATGCTAACATACTTGTAAAGTATAAATTGCAAACAACGAAATCATTGAGGGAGCTCCTTACCGTCGAAACGTTTTGGTGACATATCCAGTCTCGTATGAAGAAAAAGTAGGGACAATGGTATAGCGTCATGTATAGCTGCAGTTCATGTCTTTATAAAAGACTATAAACTCCCCACGATTCAATTGATTCCCGCGCTCACGTTCCCGCGCTCACATTCCCGCGTTAACTCATTTAAACACTACTTACAAATACGACTGAGTAGATCTGAATATATGAAGTCGACGTAATAAGGTAGAACATAACACCAAAGACGTTATAAATGCCATCCTGACCACCGCATGATTGAAAGAAAAAGAGTCCAGTCATAAGTCCTGCAAACTTAAAATGGTTTAACAGTTACAGCCAGCCACATAGGAAATGATACGTGGAAAACGGAGGCGAGATATCATTAGGATTAACTCAAGCCTGGTCTCTCTCCGTACTGACCGTACCTCTCTTAGGCAAACACTTCCCTTAGATAGACTGGTCTCAAAAAAAAAGAGGAATCTCTATTCACCTTCATATGTACATTTGTACACAAGTCCAATTTGGGCAACGCTGGACCACGTTCAATGTATAAAGGTGAAATCCTCGCCAAACTTGACGGCTCAAGGTTGCTTGTAAAATTTTTAACAAATCACACCAAATGATTCTGAAATCCACCTGACTTTTGTTTCATTTTTGATTCGTCTTAGGGAGATTTTTGAAGGCATTATGTTAACAGCAGAAAAACCAATTTCTTACCCCTATAGCAAAAGGACTCTAAATAACTGCGAACAGAAATCAAATAGAGAGCGAAGAATGGCTACTCTTCACGGGAAATATTCCTTTGTTATTTCAGGAAAGGATTTCTTGCTTGAGATACCTTCAAATCATCAATAATAATAGATTTAGCCAGGGCTAAAAGCGAAGCTCTCGATGATATTTATAGTTTGTTCAAACAAAATATAAAACCATGTAATGTTAAGCGGCGAAGGCAACGCAGGAGAATGGTGAAAAACAACAATAGGTCTAATTAGCAAAAAAAGCAACTTTGCAAGTGCAGCACACTTTTTTTTGTACATTTCTTTGCCGTTGATTTGCACGACTACAACGTGAAACTTCCAGAAACTTCTTAGTTACACGTTTTATTGAGGAAATGTCGTACGTGTTCCAGTTCACTTTTTTTTCACTGCCGCTTATTTTCACCTTGCTTTGGTGGCTACTAACATTTCCCATTTTGTCACCGCCGCTACAAAAATTTCATGTTGTTCTTCCGACAAAAAAATGTCTTATTTGTTTTTTATCTCTCGCTCTAGACCTCCAGCTCTGTCGCCCTTTTTCTCTTTGAGCTTCGCTGGCCTGCCACCTACTTTTTCTTTTTCTCGGTNCATTTCTTTGCCGTTGATTTGCACGACTACAACGTGAAACTTCCAGAAACTTCTTAGTTACACGTTTTATTGAGGAAATGTCGTACGTGTTCCAGTTCACTTTTTTTTCACTGCCGCTTATTTTCACCTTGCTTTGGTGGCTACTAACATTTCCCATTTTGTCACCGCCGCTACAAAAATTTCATGTTGTTCTTCCGACAAAAAAATGTCTTATTTGTTTTTTATCTCTCGCTCTAGACCTCCAGCTCTGTCGCCCTTTTTCTCTTTGAGCTTCGCTGGCCTGCCACCTACTTTTTCTTTTTCTCGGTCTTTCTCCTGCTCTATATTCCAAGTTTGTGGACATGACAATTAATCTAAACTAAATACTTTAGACAACACGGATACAGAAACAATTTCCGCTTTCCGTTTTCGTCTTTATTGACTCTTCAGTTGTGTCTGCTTTACAAGACGCCGGTAGCTATGCGATTTCCCGCCAAAATAACCTCGAGTTACATTTAGGTTGCCATACCTGTTGATTGAGTTATTTTACATTGGTATGCCTGTGGTGCAGACGGACCGTCGGGCGGGCGGTCGGTCGGTCAGTGTACAGTCATTACCAAATTTTCTCGGATTGGTAGATAACTTCATTTTCTTACCCATGGTGCTCCGCTGGCGCGCTTCGCGCGAGAGCTCCGCTAAGATGGAATTTCTGCGCTCTTTTCTCAGACCTAATTTCTAGGGGGAACCGGTGGTGGTGTCCCGAAATTTCGGCTTTTTTCTCAAGCTAACGTAGACTGCCTGTCATAATGGATGCATCCCAGTCTAGTTAGTTACTTGCAAGAGGCATAAAGGGGAATTGCAAGCTACTAGCTCTGGTTTTTCTCAGACTAATCATTTCAAACACAAAATATAGTTTATGAATGCAGGGTACTTACTATACTCTGAAGAAATCGCATTTTGAAGACTGTGGAGTCACGGTTATTTGTAAGCCAGGATCGCCAGAGAACAGACCGAAATTGCTGGAACCAAGACAATGTTAATGATAATAATGACGTCTTTATTTTGGTTTCTTTCATAAGTATTGCTATAGATTCTTTTGTTAGTTATCGCCTTCTCTCAAATTAACTTATACCAAACCAGTAGCGTGCAAGAAAGCCAGTAAAAAAATTCGCGCGTCTTGTCGAGCGCTAGCGACCTACAAACTTCAACCATCATTTTCAGCGTTGGTGAAACCAGATAACCATGTGGTGCAAAAGTTTGACACTAGAAAAAAATATCAGCGATCGAACAAAGTGATTTTTTCTCCCCCTTTTTTGTCTGTTTCTACCTTTTTGCTTTTAACTTGGCGCGACGACAAAGTTAGTCTTACGCAGTTGGTTTATATACTAGACCGGAAATAAAAAGCTGACCCAATGTAAATTTTGTGCTCATGCGCAGTGCGTTTTGCCGCGGTGTTGGTTTGACCAATAGCAGAGCGGCAAATTGGTCACCGCAAGTCGTGTTCAGTCCTATTCGAGCGCTTTCCCATTGTCAACTGACGTTCTCGTCCTGTCGCTAAATCAGCCTAAATTGTGTACGTCCGCGTGGACCAAGGGGCGTCTTACAATACAGGCGGGGATGACCAGCTTGTTTTCTGTTTGTTTGTTTTATGGTCTTTATCGAGATCTTTAAGTTTTGAATTAGAAACAGATTATAACTGTTGGCAACTTTCCTTACGTCGTAAGCATCAAATTTAAGAACATCCTCATAGCTTCTTTGGTTATTGCTACGATCATACACTGTCGTTGACACGGGAATTGAGCACCAACGACAGATGCATGTCATACTTAACCATTATTCGAAGAGTGCGCGTTGGATATGAGATGGTAGATAGCCAACGAGGCCCAGTTGGCTATAATAATCTCATATCCAACAAGCGCGAGGGCAAGTTGTTTTATTTAAAACGCCCATGAAACATCGAGAATTCTTTCCGACTTTATTTGTAATAAACAACCGACTTTCAGCTTGTTTTTAATTTTAAGTAGACGCATACAGTTACCATATTTGGAGAATATGTTATATTTAACAAATAGATTCCATGTTGCCGTGCGTCTGTTCAGTAATAGATCACAGATGACGTCAAAATGTCGTAAAAACAAAGAAGTGGCACACGAGCCGCCGGCGAGTGTGTCACTGTTGTTTTTACCACATTTTGACGTCCTCTGTGATCTATTACTGAACAGACCCACTTCTTTATCTAGAATTGGAGCTCTAGAATTGGATTATCCGATGATTCAGTTTTTAGTAATAGTTTGTAGTTTTCAACCTCCGCATTACCAGTTATGATTATAAGGCCTTCTCAATCTGTGCTGGAATCATTTTAGTGCCTTTATCCATATACATGCAAAAAATGTTTATAGAGCGATGAGAAAGATATCAATCAAATTTCGTTAATTAACGCATTGTAAAAAAAGAAAAGAAATACACGAAAACAAAAGCTATGACAAGAAATTGATTGTCCCCACTTCACCCCTTCTAAGAGAAGAGCAACATATTTGACTGAAGTCAAACGTTTACTGAGCAATGGACCAAGTATGTTATGTTATAATCAACATAAGCCAACAAAGTTTAAATCGTCTTTAATCCTAATTTTTCCGTGTGCGTCACTGTTAATAGAAGCTTACACTACTGAATTATCCTCAGACGTACATAAGTGTAGTAGTGTTTAAATTGAAAGCAGATGATGGAGTATGTGCGTGCAGTACAATGTACACTACTGACAATAGACTATTTTACGGTTGTGGACTTAGTACCCTAGCCTTCTTGTGATCATGAATGTGAGGCTGAGGTTAATCTTGTTTTGACACAAACCACCTTTGCTTTGTTATGGAAATTGTCCTTGCGAAATACAAGTTAGCATAAGAATAACTTGATTTACAAAGAAGGAAGGTTATTTCAAAACAAGGTCAACTCCAGCCTCGCTTCCATACATAAAAATCTGTAAAATGACCTATTATGGTGAAAATATCAATAGTCATTTAGAGTTCAGATTTTATTCTTGATGTGTTGCTCTNCAAAAGCTATGACAAGAAATTGATTGTCCCCACTTCACCCCTTCTAAGAGAAGAGCAACATATTTGACTGAAGTCAAACGTTTACTGAGCAATGGACCAAGTATGTTATGTTATAATCAACATAAGCCAACAAAGTTTAAATCGTCTTTAATCCTAATTTTTCCGTGTGCGTCACTGTTAATAGAAGCTTACACTACTGAATTATCCTCAGACGTACATAAGTGTAGTAGTGTTTAAATTGAAAGCAGATGATGGAGTATGTGCGTGCAGTACAATGTACACTACTGACAATAGACTATTTTACGGTTGTGGACTTAGTACCCTAGCCTTCTTGTGATCATGAATGTGAGGCTGAGGTTAATCTTGTTTTGACACAAACCACCTTTGCTTTGTTATGGAAATTGTCCTTGCGAAATACAAGTTAGCATAAGAATAACTTGATTTACAAAGAAGGAAGGTTATTTCAAAACAAGGTCAACTCCAGCCTCGCTTCCATACATAAAAATCTGTAAAATGACCTATTATGGTGAAAATATCAATAGTCATTTAGAGTTCAGATTTTATTCTTGATGTGTTGCTCTGCAATGTTCTTTCTTCGCGATAAACAATTGTAAAAAGTGCTATGAAGCAGCCGTTCAGTCGCGCGTGAAGTGGCTTTTCTCTTTGCCTGTCCGAGCTGAAGTAGAGGAGATTTCTTTTACTGCTTTACGGTTTTCTGTAAGTGCTCCTCAACAAAATAAGGAATGCTATTATGCGAAAGGCAATAATCAAAGCCAACAGACCACAGATGTCAATCAGTAGATGATCCTGTCAAACAAAAATAAAACGTGACACAATTCATTATCGCCGAGGTCTTTTGAGCGACACAGTTAAACTCGACAACTTCTGCTCTACCTTTTCAAGTTAAGGACAAATAGGAACATAGCCACATTTAAGTCATTCCTTTTCACACCCTCAAAACCTCTCCCCTATCAAACTGCTGACACATCCATCTTGCCATTGAAGCATTTTTTTATTCCCCATCAAACTTTGCTTTTGCAGCTACTGTTCCCTTAAAAGAGGGTTGTAGCGTAAAACCTTATATGGTATACCTGTATTTGGGCATGACCATGTGCTCGGTATCAGTTGCTGTAGAAGCTCAGGGGCACCCAACGTCAATTTTCGGAAGATATCTGTTCGGAAGACGATTTGAGATCTAGAATTTTTGGAACATTTGTTGTAAAATTTCTTGCTTGCCTGCCTCTCCCAGGATTTTCGAACATCTAAAAAATCGTATAATTGCCCATTTTAAACGGATTTTTACCCTAAAAAGGTCACCTAGAATTTTCGGGAGCCTTTATTCTGGCTGAAATTTTCGAAAACGTAAGTTTTGATCTCTATAATTTTCGGATCACTAAGCTTTCAGCTAGGTAATCCGAACAGATTTAAAATTTTTAGTGGGATAAAAATGTGCCTATATCTACCGTTTAAATACTAAAATGCTTTTAACAATACCATGTTTAAGTGGTTTTGACCTATATTCTCGTTGGGTGCTCCTGGAAGCTGCCATTTTGATTATGTATTAAATTAGTTGTGTTCATCAAAACGTGTGTTTAATCGCCTCCGACACTACAAGGGTTTTTGAGCGACACACTTGAACGTGATAACCTCTGCTCCACCTTTTCAAGTTTTAGGGGATAATTCCCTCCAAATCTTCGTTTAAAGACATTTAAAAACAGCTTTCGTATAATTATACTATAGCAACTAAGAATAAGACCAGCCCGTTAGTAAGTAATTCGTGATTGATTTCTAATTGCTTTCATTCAAAGTATCACAAATTTTGGCGAAACGAACTCTTCAAGCCATTTTCCACCTCAGGTGGTAATACAGGCATGTCGACTGCTCCATGGATTATTTAACAGTTAATGAATGAGGCTGAATATCTCATGAAGAATTATGGAGATCGAGGAGGATGTTATCCGTCGAGGCCGTAGACCGAGGCGGATTATGCCCTCCGAGATCTCCATAATTCTTCATATGAAACGAAAGCCGAATTCAATAATTGTTTTATTATTCATTCAAAATAATTTCTAGTTTAAAAACATAGGTAAAACATGCTTATCTCCATCGATGTTAAGTTTATCTTCGATAGTTCACGTTTAGGGTTGTTCAGCTCCGCAAATAAACTCCAAATAGCAGATGTCGCCCTTCGAGTTGTCTTCTTGCTGTTCTTGCCATGCTTTTAGCTATTATTTCGCCTAGTTCTCACTCTTGAAACGAGTGAAATGTCCGCCATTTTTGTTTTGACAAACAAAACAACTTAACCTCGTCCCCAGGTCTTCTCGGTTAACGATGCATTAACCTAAACGAAGGCTGCACTTTTGACGTCATCGGTTCATTAAACACTAAATTCTTCCAAATTTGGTCATCAGTGGCTGGTTATGGTGAATTATGCGAGTGCTTTTAGCCAATCAGAATCGGGGAAATATTTTGAATGAATAATAATTACTTTTTATTATCGATATTTACCTTATCCAGGCCGCGGGACTCGATAGCCTCTTCCCCATTGCCAATACACGGCAGGTGTGATGCTTTGCCTTTAAAACTGCATGCTGCATAACAAGAACAACAACGTTAAACTGAGGTACGAGGAAAGTACGATAGCAGGCATTAGCCGTTTTACACTAGGGACGGATAATTCGTCTCAGAGGGGTGGCGGATCAACTGGATAATTCGCGTCAGACTGATAATTTTGGTTTTAATATTAAAGACGGATTGTACGACTTAGAAGAATGTATAATCCGTCTCTTGTGTAAAAACGGCCATTATGGCCTTCTGTACACTGCAAATTACTCCTATCTCTTAGTGTTTCGTATTCAGTATTAATTAGTCTATACTAATTACCAGCAATAAGGGTAAATTTTAACTGGGTAACGGACAGGAAGAGTTTACTTTCTCATAGAAAATCATGTCGAGGCAAAATACTGGAAAATTAATTTTGTAACATAACATCGAACGGATCAGTGGTGTATTTGAGCATAACCCTATTGTACCAGTTCTAGAATCGCAATCAGTGTATAGATAGCTAGGCGCAGCTCAAGTATATGACGCAGAAAACTTGTTCGCCCTTGGTCGAAAAACATGAGCTGGGACATAACGGCATTATGTAGAAGGAAAACTTCTACTGTTGTTCTGGTAGAGGCAAAATAGAAAAAGGGAATCGATACTCGCAGCGAGTCACGATGTTCTTAAAGTACACAAATAAATCAATAAATAAACAAACAAACAATAAATAAATAAATGCGGATGAATGAATGAATGAATAACCTACTTATGTTTCCATAATTGTCCCACTGATTGATAGCCATTGCCTCAAATCCGTAGTTCCACCAGGAAAAAAATTGCACAACCTTTAACCACCATGGTAAGGTTCTGCAATACAAAACCAAATGTTACATATTAAACAATACTTGACCCTAGGCGATTGATACTTAAGATGATTTTTCATTCAGCTACAAGTAACTACTATATTTTGCGACGTGTACTTAAAAGTACGATAAATCAATCAAAAGGATTACACCAAAACTGGCAGTGGAAACTAAGAGTGACGAAGTCACGGCAAAATTTGCAGGTATAAATCTTCCGTTACCTCAAATTAACAGGACGTAAAAGAGATAGACTCACGTGTTGTCCTTGAAGAATCCGCCCAGAAGTAAGAATGGTAGAACCATGGGCTCGATGATAGCAATAGAGGCTGACGAGGTTGGCGCAAAAGCCGAGATGACGTATGCTAAAATAGATAAAAGATAGCTTTGCAGCCATTTTTAGGGCCTTCACAGGCGAGGTTAGTCACATTGTACAAAAACGCTATGCTTTGGATACTTAAAATCACCATTGTAAATTATGTGGGCTCCATATTTTCCTTACCCCAATACGTTTCTTGCCTGCCAGTAGGGCGGTTTGGTACCTCGTGACTTACCAACTGAAAGGGCCTATTACGACTAACCGCGTGAACTTGTGATATTGGCCTCTTCCATGCATCCAGCTATTACATTCACGACGTAGAAATATTGATATCTAATGTCTTTACTAGAGAAAACTCCAGCAGAAATGTCTAAAAAATAATGTTTTGTTAAGATTATTTTCTTTTCTTTTTTTTGAATGAAATTTCTTAGTTAACAATATGAAAAAAATAATGTTTTGTTAAGATCATTTTCTTTTCTTTTTTTTGAATGAAATTTCTTAGTTAACAATATGAAGTAAAATATTTCGTCAACCTGAGTAAATGCTTTTTTCAGCCGCAGGAAATGTCCATAGCTTTAACATTTCATTAGCCTGCGTGGCAGGCGCTTGGAAGTAATGGGCACAAGAAAGAATTAATGGGGATGCGAGCGAGACACGCGTGTCTCTCTCACGCTTCGTTCTTTCTTGCGCCCATTACTTCGAGGGGCCCGCTACGCACGCTAACATTATATAAAGAAAGCACCAATTTTTCTACACTTATTACTGCATTTACCTCAAGACCATATGCGTAAAACATACTTACTGTAAGAAACAGAGGCCATACTGACCAAGACAAGTATTCCGTAAGCGAAAAGAAACCTTAGAGGATCGGCCCTCAAACCTACAAATTGCAAATTTCGAATTAAGAAATGTATGAACTTTAAGAACAAGCTTAAAAGATGCCAAATAAAATATCGGTTGAAATCAATTTGCTTTATACTTTACTATACATTTTTTTTCTGAAGATGGTGATTGATGAAGACCAGCTGTTCAGCTCTCAAAGAAAAGGAAAACAAACCAACAACAATAACTAACAGCAAGTTAAAAACAGCCGGGATAATTAGTGTCTAAAACATAATGAGGGGATTCTGTATCAACCTACCTGCCATCCAGTATCCAATAGCAATCATCAAAAGAGGGCCAAAAACAAATTGAGGTACCTATGAAGTTGTTAGATAGGGATTAAAACTTTTTCAAAATATAGTAGCTTGCAACACAATGTAGAGAGTTTTCATATGACGTAACGGTGGCCATAAATTTGTGTTCCAATTAAACGATGAAACGGCGGCCATGTTGGTGTTCCAAACCAATCCCATGGGAGTCGAACTCTTTTCTTACGTGACGCTTTCGTTTGTTCCGATAAATTTGTATAGGCTGGTCACGTGAGTGAAAACTGTCTATTCCTGGCTGAATTTATATGAAAAATAACGATGCATTTATATGTATGCAACCTGCAGGACATACGAGAAAAATTTCTGGGAGAACAAACAATGTGCCGAGTCGAAAATTATGGCCTGTTTGGTTCAAAAAGGCTAAATGTTAATTCAAAAAATCTTAAAAATACCAACAGGGCGGGATAGTGTGATTTTAGTTAATTGTTCATATTTCGAATTGTACGCTTAAAATTGGCTAAACAATTTAGTACTGACAAAATCACTTCCACGATTTCTAATGATTTTTTAAGCATTAGAAAACGTTTTCTGTGTTTGCATAGCCTGATATAAACAGGAGAGGGGTTGGGAGAATTTGAGACAGTATGCAAACCCGAGACGAAGTCGAGGGTTTGCATAACTACTGTCGAGTGTTTATATCAGGCTATGTAAATACAGAAAAAAAGTTTTCTATTGCTTTTACAAATCAACTTTCCCGAGAAAAGACAAAAAAAATTCTTTGTTATGGCACTGATTAAAAGAGAAATTCTTACACTGGTGCGAATTCTCGTACACGTAGTCTTGCACGCGTAATCAGTTTTTGTTTTGCAAAAAGCTGCTTTCCAAAATACGGATTTTTCTCGCTTAAATGTCAGCTTAAGCGAAAAAAATTGACACAGCATGTTTATACAGATTTTCCAAGTTTCAGCCGACGTGGGAATCGGTAAAGAAAGTAAACTTGTCGAGTTTTCAACTCAAAAACTTTTTCAAATTCGTGCCTGCGTGATTAGCGGGAGAAAAGCAAAACATCTTGACGTCACAACCATGTTTACTTGACTCTCATGCAAACACACCTCTCGGCCAATCAGAGCGCGCGTGCTATTTTAGTTATTTTTTAAATATAAGTGGTGTGTCTGGAACACATCTGACGCTTACCTGAGCAAAGGTTTTGCAAAGGAAGTAAATATCCGTTCGATACATCCCACTATGGTTATCTCTTAAAAATACCCTTCGCTCCTCTGGAAATGTCTGGTCAAAACAAGTAGAGATTTGCTATGTCGTGGTAATTCTAGAATAAATCACCTCATTGAGATTGTTTTAAGCTACTATGGTATGTACGTATTCCAAGTGATCCTTTTTCACATCTTAAAATACCTAACACGAAATACAATGCTAACATACATGTAAAGTATAAATTGCAAACAACTAAATCATGGAGGGAGCTCCTTACCGTCGAAACGTTTTGGTGACATATCCAGTATCGTATGAAGAAAAAGTAGGGACAATGGTATAGTATAGCTGCAGCACATGTCTTTATAAAAGACTATAAACTCCCCACGATTCAATCGATTCCCGCGCTCACGTTCCCGCGTTAACTCATTTAAACACTACTTACAAATACGACTGAGTAGATCTGAATGTATGAAGTCGACGTAATAAGGTAGAACATTACACCAAAGACGTTATAAATGCCATCCTGACCACCACATGATTTAAAGAAAAAGAGTCCAGTCATAAGTCCTGCAAACTTAAAATGGTTTAACAGTTACAGCCAGCCACATAAGAAATAATACGTGGAAAACTGAGGCGAGATATCATTAGGATTAACTCAAGCCTGGTCTCTCTTACCGTACCTCTCTTAGGCAAACACTTCTCTTAGATAGACTGGTCTCAAAAAAAAAAGAGGAATCTCTATTCACGTTCATATGTACATTTGTACTCCAGTCCAATTTGGGCAACGCTGGACAACGTTCAATGTATAAAGATGAAATCCTCGCCAAACTTGACGGCTAAAGGTTGCTTGTAAAATGTTTAATAAATCACAACCAAATGATTCTTAAATCCATCTGACTTTTGTTTCATTTTTGATTCGTCTTAGGGATATTTTTGAAAGTATTATGTTAACAGCAGAAAAACCAATTTATTACCCCTATGGCAAAAGAACCCTAAACAACTGCATACAGAAATCAAATAGAGAGCGAAGAACGGCTAATCTTCACGCGAAATATTCCTTTGTTATTTCAAGAAAGGATTTCTTTCTTGTGACACCTTCAAGTCATCTATAATATATTAATTTAGCCAGGGCTAAAGGCGAAGCTCTCGATTATATTTATAGTTTGTTCAAAAAAAATATAAAATCGTGTAATGCTAAGAGGCGAAGGCAACGGCGGAGAACGGTGAAAAACAACAATAGGTCTAATTAGCAAAAAAAGCAACTTTGCAATTGCAGCACACTTTTGTGTACATTTCTTTGCCGTTGTTTTGCACGACTACAAGGTGAAACTTGCAGAAACTTCTTAGTTACACGTTTTATTGAGGAAATGTCGTACGTGTTCTCGTTCATTTTTTTTTTTACTGCCGCTCATTTTCACTTTGCATTGGGGGCCGCTAACATTTCCCATTTTGTCACCACCGCTAGAAAATTTTCATGTTGTGTTTCCAACAAAAAACTGTCTCATTTGTTTTTTATCTCTCGCTCTAGACCTCCAGCTCTGTCGCCCTTTTTCTCGTTGAGCTTCGCTGGCCTGCCGCCTACTTTCTCTTTTTCTCGGTCTTTCTCCTGCTCTATATTCCAAATTTGTGGACATGGCAGTTAATCTAAACTAAATACCTTACACAACACGGATACAGAAACAATTTCCGCTTTCCGTTTTTGTCTTTATTGACTCTTCAGTTGTCTCTGCTTTACAAGACGCCGGTAGCTATGCGATTTCCCACCAAAATAACCTCGAGTTACATTTAGGTTGCCATACCTGTTGATTGAGTTATTTTACATTGGTATGCCTGTGGTGCAGACGGACAGTCGGGCGGTCGGTCGGTCGGTGTACAGTCACGTGATTACCAAATTTTTCTCGGATGGGTAGATAACTTCATTTTCTTACACATGGTGCTCCTCTGGCGCGAGAGCTCCGCTACGATGGAATTTCTGCGCTCTTCTCTCAGACCTAATTTCTAGGGGAAACTAGTGGTGGTGTCCCAAAATTTCGGCTGTTTTCTTAAGCTAACGTAGACTGCCTGTCATAATGGATGCATCTCAGTCTAGTTAGTTACTTGCAAGAGGCAAAATGGGGAATTGCAAGCTACTAGCTCTAGTTTTTCTCAGACTCATCATTTCAAACACAAAATATAGTTCATGAATGCAGGGTACTTACTATACTCTGAAGAAATCGCATTTTGAAGACTGTGGAGTCACGGTTATTTGTAAGCCAGGATCGCCAGAGAACAGACCGAAATTGCTGGAACCAAGACACTTTGTACCTAGAAAAAATAAAAATTATGAAAAGCTTGTATTGTGGACGTTGTGAATATTACGTTTTGTCCGACTTTGTATTTGTAGGTTTTTTTTTTCTCAGACTAGTGACTCCATCAGTGCTAAACCCCTTGTTATTTTTGTATGTTACTTTTCTTCCTAAGAGCTATTGTTTTTCTTGTATTTATAGTTTAACTAAAATTAATAAGTCTATTAAAAAATAGCGCAATATGTCCACGGTCGATTGTTCAGGAGTTAATAATGTTTTCGTTTTTTGTGTTGTTTTGTTATCTTCTATATTAATGAAGCATTTTTTCTTTCCCTTTAATTTAACTGAAAATTCATTAAGTACTTACGATTAATTATTTTTATATCTGGATCAAATTGTTGGCTAGTTCGAGGTGCATGAATTTGACGAAATTTTATGACATAGCTCCCTAAAAAGAATTTAAAACACTTTGGGCGATTAACTGCAGTTGCATTGCAGATATCAATTAATTGCAGAATACACTCAGTATAGTTTAAGCAAAGACGCTTTTGAGCGACCAACGTCAACCGGAAGTGGATATTTTGCATTTTTGGGCAAATCGTCTCTATAAACGTATTTAGCAATACAAATTCGGTAGCGTTAAGACATGAAAGGGAATAGGCCTCATTTCCGGTAAACGCGCTTCGCTCAAAAACGTCATTAGAGACCTGAAGATACCTCGATATCGGTGAACGGGTACGGGTAGTGTACCCGTACATGTAAAATGTTCATGTGCGTGACTATTTCGATTAAGATACCCGAAGAGCAAGCACGCAAAATTAACTTTGTACATGCATATCGCTTAATGCATACAAAATCTCCCTGAAATTCTACACTTCATATCTTAACAACAAGCTGCAACAAATAATTCATTCATACATAAGCTTATTGAAATATCATAGAAAGGTTTTAAGAAACTTGGCGGGAAGTCCCTCGACCGAAAGCTTGTTATCGCAAACCCCGCCATTTGATCGAGGCACATCACCAAACAATTCCTTTGATTGTCAACTTCAACAGTGACTCCCATGCTAAATTTTTCAATGCTATTTCTTTTGCGAAACTCAAACGTTCGAGCAATTCTCAGAAATCGCCCCAAATACCGCCACAACTTGATATCGTTTCAGAGTTCAACCTGCGCATTTGAGGTCCAAAATCAATACATTTTAAAGCGCTTTCTTTACAGCTAAAATTCAAATTTGGCAAAAATATTTGAACAGGCTTGCAATAACATTGCCAAGGAGTCATACAATTTACATTTGTACTTAAAAAGTCTTAAAAACTTACTCGTTTCTCCATCATGTAGGACTTGCAGCTACTCGTAAATCTTCTACGGGTAAACTGGTGTCTACCCCGGAAAAACGGCTGGTTCTACCGGGTAATGTCGATGACGTCACCACAAAATGAAAAAAAAAACATGGCACTACCCGTTACCCGTAAACCGATTTCGGGGTATCTTAAGGTCTCTAATATTGCTTACACTCCCTATTTAGCGGAATCTGAGGCCTTCTGGTAAGGGGTCCCCACTCATTAAGACCTTGTGGTGTTGAAGGGGTTGTCCATGGTTCATAACGTGAGAGTGGATTTTCTTTCTTATATCCCCCCTCGAGCTGAAAAGGAATGTTTGTGTAGTGTTCTACTTTACGCTTTAGAGATTTCTAAACAAAATATCCTGCAGGAAGGATATGCAGTTTTGAACGTTTCTGGGAACTACTTACGGTGAGCGACGTACAGCATAGTCATTACCAGAAAACGAGTCCTAAAACAAACAAAAAAAATCAATTAGTATAGCACGAGGCTTAGGCTTGACAGAAGTTTAGCAATGCTTATTAAACAACACTGACAGAACTGAACAAGGAGTACATTTTCATTGTTCGTTTTTTTTTCTTTTTCTAATCCTTTACGTATACCAAGAGTGGATAGAGTATACACACTAGAGAAAAGTCATAATGGTTGCTTTTTTTTGTTTGGCCTTTTTTAATTAGGTCTTCTTCAGTTTTAACAGATGTAAAATGACATGAAAAAGTGGTTGCCAAAGTCATGTGTACGACAAACGTGAGATATCCTCAAAATAGTGCATGATTGATAAAAACAGCTCAAAACAATTCTTATGGATAAAACTGACTGACTCTTTTCACTGCCTTTGTTCTTTTTTACCACACAGTTTATTAATATATTTCCCCTGTCACTGAAGTGGGAGGGGAGGGTGCAGGCAATTTTTGTTAGAGTCAGGCTTTGTAAGAGAGGGAGAAGACGCGTAGCAAAAAAACCCTATGACCTTAGTCCTAAATATCTCGGCTTCTGTATGTAGCTAAAAATCACTGGATTACGTTTTGTATTATCTCAAAGTGTCAAACATTTTATTCTTTCTCGATATACCTCAAACCTAGTCTGCATACCTATTTCAGTATTTTCCACGTTGGCTTTTTACCGTCCACATAACAATTCCATATCTCTCTTTGAGAAAGCAACATTTTAGTTTCGGTGCTGCAAAACCAGTTTGGTCGGATTTATGTCTTACTCACCTGTAAAACTTTTTTAGCACGTTTTGTTTCGTTTGCGGCACTTTCTTGAGTGTACGCATCACAAATTGTCTGGAATTTAACCAAAAACAAAAAAACAAACAAAAAACAAACAAACAAAACAAAACAAAACAAAAAAAAGGCTGGAGTGAACAAGTAACTTAGAAGATAGATAACATATGAACAACATGAGCTCGTACAGTTAATGTTCTTCATCTTGACGGTTCGGTTATTTTGCTTAGAAAAAGAATAGAAAGAAAGGTTGCAAGAAGTACGAGAAAATAGAGGCGACAGATACAACTTATGACCTTAATTTATGTGCAGTTGAGAGAGCTTGAAAGTTTGCAATTGACAGAGCTTCCGGCCTTACAGTTTAGTATTTACAGATGATTGTGTTCGTTGTATTTTAATTAAATCTCTCTAAGCAGAAGTTTGACTGAATTTCACTTTGAATTTCTTGAAGCATTATCTATGGGTTTTAATTGACTATTAACATTAAAGACTTAAAAGAGCTCGAGAACATGGCCCAGGTACTGTGTAAATCCTAGATACCTTGGAGGCCGCCACCTAAACTGACTATGCCTCGGTTTTGTCAAAGATGAATCTTATTGGTCAAAGAATGAAAGATGGTATTATTTTAACCTCGGTGAAACAAATGTGAAGATGAATAATCAGCATGATCACGAGCATGGGACAAAGAAGAGATCTGAGTCCCCGACTGGATTCGAAGCTATGACCTCCCAAAGACTGGGCGGGAGCTCCATCCACTGGTTGTTCGATAAGCTAAGGATAGGAAAGATTCGTATCAGAGAGGCTGAATTTGTAAAGATTCACTTACAGTGATAAAATTTGTTTTCCTCGACAAGTTTTCCTTATCAGGGTTGCCACTTTAAGTGTGACGTGTGTCTTCTCAAATAATTAAAGGATTGAGCTACGATATTTGTCAAAACTCAGACTGTGGGAACTGCCACCAAATTGAGTGAAACGCTGAAAACATTAAAGGAAGGTATACTTAACACCGCAGATACAAAAGAAGGCATGGATTGACAAACTTTTGAAGAAGATTGAAACGGATTGCAGTTGTGGGTTTTGAAAGCTTGTTAGCCTAACAGTTTTTCAAAGTTCATTTTTGTCATGTGTAACGTTTGTTACATTGCTTGGCTTGTCTTTGTTAGACATAAAGCGTGATTTTGTCATTCACCAAAATTTGATTGTCATTCACCAAAGTTTTATAGGAAGTACGGACCTGTACTGGCGCTATGAACAAAATGAAGTAGCCAGCCATAACACAGACTCTTAAATGAAATTTACATTTGTACTTAAAAAGTCTTAAAAACTTACTCGTTTCTCCATCATGTAGGACTTGCAGCTACTCGTAAATCTTCTACGGGTAAACTGGTGTCTACCCCGGAAAAACGGCTGGTTCTACCGGGTAATGTCGATGACGTCACCACAAAATGAAAAAAAAAACATGGCACTACCCGTTACCCGTAAACCGATTTCGGGGTATCTTAAGGTCTCTAATATTGCTTACACTCCCTATTTAGCGGAATCTGAGGCCTTCTGGTAAGGGGTCCCCACTCATTAAGACCTTGTGGTGTTGAAGGGGTTGTCCATGGTTCATAACGTGAGAGTGGATTTTCTTTCTTATATCCCCCCTCGAGCTGAAAAGGAATGTTTGTGTAGTGTTCTACTTTACGCTTTAGAGATTTCTAAACAAAATATCCTGCAGGAAGGATATGCAGTTTTGAACGTTTCTGGGAACTACTTACGGTGAGCGACGTACAGCATAGTCATTACCAGAAAACGAGTCCTAAAACAAACAAAAAAAATCAATTAGTATAGCACGAGGCTTAGGCTTGACAGAAGTTTAGCAATGCTTATTAAACAACACTGACAGAACTGAACAAGGAGTACATTTTCATTGTTCGTTTTTTTTTCTTTTTCTAATCCTTTACGTATACCAAGAGTGGATAGAGTATACACACTAGAGAAAAGTCATAATGGTTGCTTTTTTTTGTTTGGCCTTTTTTAATTAGGTCTTCTTCAGTTTTAACAGATGTAAAATGACATGAAAAAGTGGTTGCCAAAGTCATGTGTACGACAAACGTGAGATATCCTCAAAATAGTGCATGATTGATAAAAACAGCTCAAAACAATTCTTATGGATAAAACTGACTGACTCTTTTCACTGCCTTTGTTCTTTTTTACCACACAGTTTATTAATATATTTCCCCTGTCACTGAAGTGGGAGGGGAGGGTGCAGGCAATTTTTGTTAGAGTCAGGCTTTGTAAGAGAGGGAGAAGACGCGTAGCAAAAAAACCCTATGACCTTAGTCCTAAATATCTCGGCTTCTGTATGTAGCTAAAAATCACTGGATTACGTTTTGTATTACCAAAATTTGATTGTCATTCACCAAAGTTTTATAGGAAGTACGGACCTGTACTGGCGCTATGAACAAAATGAAGTAGCCAGCCATAACACAGACTCTTAAATGACTATACAATGTGTAAAAAATCAGTGCTATTCCAACCTTAACTCTCTTGCGGCAGTTTTCTTCATCGCCAGGCTTGATGGCCAGGGTACGGACAAAGAAGTCAGCTGGGTTAAAGTTGTCAGGACAAGTATAACCTAAGCTGTGAGTGAAAGCAATGTACGAGTTAAAAGAGCAATGCTAAGAGATTTTGGCTTTGTAATGTGGTACCTAAGAATTTGAATGTGAATCCAATGCAAAATGAAAGGAAACAGGGTTTTCAAGAGTACAGTTTTCAAAAGTTATGTCTTTTTTTTTTGTGTTGCTTGCTTACACCGGCCTACCTAGCAGCAGACGATAGATAGGCCAATTCTTTTTCTGTAGTACTCATAGCATATACTGTATATAGTACCTTTAGTACCAAAAACATTATAGACGTATAAAGAAAAAAAAAAGATTAAAGTTTACAATATTTGACTAATAACAACATTGCCAGTTGATTTAAACAAAAAGTTCGTAATTAAGTCTGATTACGAAAAGTCAAGAAAAATTTCTCTTTGTTTATATTCCTTTTTTTCCAAAAGAATGCTATCATAATGGCAAAAATAGGCATGTCACTCCCTTTAAAAGTACCAAAACATACTTACATGAAAAAACCTTACTGCTTTGAATAAATTATTTTACTAAATTATCAATAGAATATAAACTCTCTATCAATGTTACACATTAAAACGTATTATACATTGAAAAATGACTATACGTTCTCGACATTCAACGAAAACAGTACGAAACTTAAACTTGGTAAAACTTAAGTATGAAACCCATAAATGACGTTCAACATGTAAACACTATTTTTGTAGTGTACCATTTAAAATAGTGGATGGCATTTTCCGTGGATCCCATAAAGGCAATTCTACCTTCAGCTAGCATCAAAATACTAAAATAAAAAATTAAAATAGAAAAAAACATTAGGAAATGAGTTCTGTCGAGTGTGAAAGTGAGACAATTAAGATCAATTCAATAAACTTTAGTGGAATAAAGGCAGTCAGAATATCTTCTGCTTACTTATGTTACTTACTTAAGGCACACAGTCCTGTGTAAGTATACTTGATTTCTAGGGTGGGAAAGGGCACTCTTTATAATGGCGGGGATATACGGTGGGGATCCACCCGAAAGGGGGGCTTTTTTTTCAAAGCGAGTTATACCAAAAGGTAGGAATTCGCAAGTTCAAGTATATGAAAGGGTAGAAAGTACTTTAAAAGTCCAAACGACGCTTTTTCTTGCTAAATAATTTCAATTTATTAAACGTGAAACTAATTAACATGAAGAGTTTCTATTTTAGCGATTTAGTCTACATTATTCAGTACCGTGTTCCTTTTTATTAATAGAAGGTACATGAAAGGGCTACCCTTTGGGTAAAAAATGGTATAAAAAATAGCAACGGTCTGGAACTTGGGGCGGGCCTCTCTTTAAGATAATATGTTGACTTAATTAGCTATGATAACTTGATAACTTGATATAAGTTATTTCACCTTGTCCTCTTTTCACATATCAACGTACTGTACCTGTGAAACATGGCGTACACTTCAGAGGAAGGCTGATGAATGGTGCAAATGATTGTTCTTCCTTGATCAGCAAGCTGCTGCATTGTTGCAACCAAATTTTGTGCCATGAACGAATCAAGACCGGAAGTAGGTTCATCAGCGAACAGCAAGGGCGGGTCTGTAATGATCTGATGTACAAAATTAAAGATAAAGTAGTTTGTTCAGTTGGTTGGGAACAAGACTTCAATCCAGACTAGCCCAGGTGTGATTCCCGCTCTGACCAATAGTCAGGGTAATGAAATAACTAAGGAGAATGCGCAGCCTTCGCTCATTTATTCACTAATCATCGGAGGATTCCGGATCATCAAATAAGAGGCCCCCGGTCATCTAGGCTCTAATCCAGCGTTCACATTTAGTGCTCGGCACATTGCCCAAGTGCTAATGTGAACACACCCTTTTTACCAAATACCCACGCTAGAATTCGGCCAAGGTGCGGAGACCTTGTACTTGGTACTTTGGTACAGAAGCGGACAGCGGGTCCCTGTGTGAACACCGCTTTTGTTAGTCATGGGACAGTCACTGCTTTGCACTCGCTGCTCAGCTCATGTTTCAACAATGACGTTTGGGTAAACTGTTACATTTTGGGTATTCGAGTGCCGATACCCAGTCGCCCCTGCGCCTACCCGCTCCTTGGCCCCTCCGCTAGATTTGCTACTGCTGAAATTTAAAGGCACTCAGGCACTCTAAGAGGAAGAAGTGCTGGCACAGTCTTACAGGACTCTTAGTAGTCTTGTTCGAACTAAATCAGCCAAACCACCCACGACACCGGTACCTCTCCCAACGCGACCCTATATCTCGAAATTTAAATAGTCTACTCTTGAATTGAAACTATACTTGGTAAACAAACTGATACCTCTGAAGCAAACGAGAGCCTTCTCTTTTCTCCACCCGAAATTCCTTGCAGCCGTCCTGGTATTCCAATGAAAGTATCAGCGCATTTAGTCAGACCAAACTTTGAAAGAAGCACAAGTGAAACAAATTAGAGCTCTGCAAGAAACAACGACCCTGGTCCATCGTTTGTCGTTAGCACGCCAAACGGTGGAATGGATGCGAAGTAGATTGAAAGAAGGTATCCCATGAGTGTGGTAGGGTAGGTAGGAGTGAGGCTCTTACGTCCTCTTAGGTTGTATTCTTGGTAGATAATTTTTGACTGATTTTTATGCTTGGACAAAATGACCCTTTTGGATCACGTTCCTTGGCTGATGGAAACTAACAAATAGGCCACTTCCGAGTTCCAAAAACCCTCACTTTCAAAAGGAGGCTAGGTACTCAACCTTTCTTGTGAAAATGAGTTTTATTTGGATGAGAATGAAAAATGGTTTCCATATCAAAGGCTGAGCACCTACCCTCGTTTTGAAACTGAGGCCCAGGGGAACTTGGAAATAGCCTATTGGCCCCATTCGCACCCCCTTGTCGTCACTGTTATTTTTGGGTATCCTCCCCAACAAACGATACTTCCTGTGTTTTGTTACCTGAAGCATCACTTCTTGGACTCGTGCGATCCGTTGTTCACGGGAAACAGTTCCGTCCATACGCAGGGAAGCCTTCAGAAACAGAATGAATCAGAACAAGAGAAAGGTGTCATCATTATAATCAGTGTACCGTCTTCATCGTAACCATCATCGTCGTCCTTATCATCATAATCATCATTATCATCATCACTGTTTTCATAATGATAACATTAGTGAGCTTACGTAACAGGAAGGCAGAAAGAAGAGGACGGCAAAACGTTTGCGTGAAAAACCTGAAAGGGCTACTACTTGCGTGTTTTGTCGTACTTTAATTTCCTCAGATGAAAAGTTAAGGTGTAAGACCACTGCAAGAAACTTTGTACGACCAAACTTGCTCAACGTTGAATCGAAAAAGATCGCGATCAGTCAGAATTAATAAAAAGTGTAAATAAAATATACGAAGAAAAATAAAACGCGTCTTTCATCAGATTCGTCCTAAATAAGACCAAACTATCCCGTATAAACGGCACATTAAGACACGACTTTATAACAAAGACGTGTCTTATCGAAGAACAGGTGTGAAGGGCTGTTCTTAGATAAGACGCGTCTTAGCTAAATTTCAAACGAAATGTGCCGTTTATACGGGATAGTTTGATTCTTATTTAGGACGCGTCCTATATAAGACGCGTCTTAAAACGGCCCTATATATTGTCAAAAAGAAAACTGCCAGGACTGATCAAAGACTAGTTAGGATACATATTTCGCGTGGCCAATACCAGCCTTCATCAGGTTTTAATATTAGGAAGATCACGAAATTACAGAAATATACTGTATATATGCAGTACTACAATGGTCTTTTACGAAAAGATCTGTTTAAAGGGAAGTGAAACTTGGAGGAAATGTTTTTCAAACAAAATATTGTCACGCCGCATTTCACACAATGTTTGGCTGCGTTCCTCTTTTTTTTACCCCGTCCTGTTAAGTACGTTTACTATCTTTATCAGCAACACCATCATCAGGGATCTCAATGCCCACTCATGCGATCAGAAGCATCAAGTGGTTCTTGGCTCTGCATAAGACGGAAGTGTTTTGTTGGTATCTTATACGTACTGTTTACAGGCTGTTCCGAATTCCATCTATTTCACTAAGTTGGAAGATGCCATCTTTGGTTTCGAAAAAAATCGTTTAGCATTTTAAATCACTCACCTGAAAAGTAAGATGTTCCCTTACAGTCAAAGTTCCCACAAAAAGGTCTTCTTGTTGAATATATGCAGACATCGAAGTCATCTCTGATCTAATAGGACAATCATTCAATAACACGGTTCCAGTGACATCCATTTGGCCGATATTTCGTTGCGCCAACACATTCATTAAGGTCGACTTCCCAGCACCACTAGAAAAAGAAGAAGAAGAGGAAGAGGAAAAAAAAAACATCTTGCTTACAACTGGGATAACTGAAATACAAGATGACCTACTTTTAAGCGTTTATCGTTGAAAAAACGCGTAAGAAAACAGTTGAAAAAGCGCGAGACTACTTAAAAACACCATTTATTATATAAGCACTAATGAAATACCAGGTGAGCTTTCGCATAAAAACATGATATCTTCACACCTGAAAATAACATGTTATCTTCTCTTGTGAAAAGATCACCGTTGCTATGGCTACATAATTAATCGCGCCTTTCACGCCAAAAAACTGTTAAAGTGAAATGGTTTGGTATTTCATTGGTGTTTATATAATAAATAGAACATTACATGGCCGCTTGGAGATACGAAATTTCTCTTCTTGAGTTGAAGAAATATTTCACTCGTTCGCTGCGCTCACTCGTGAACTATTTTCCAACACTTGAAGAGAAATTTCCTATCTCCGAGCGGCCATGTAATATCCTTTATTTACAATTAGTGTAGATTCTATCGTGTCGCGTTTATGTCTTGCAAAGATGATTTTTTCGTAGTATGATAAGCTTTGAAGACTTCAATGTGTTTATTAGGTACATTTTTTGCTGAGGAGATCTGCTGTAGATCCTATCCAATTTCTTTGCGATCCTTTGCAATTAATGTTCAGTTGTTATTTATAAAATACTCACCTCGCCCCCATGACTGCTAATAAACTGCCAGCGTCAATCCTTCCACTCACTGTAATTAAAAAAAAGATAGTAGTATCTCCTACACAGGTCATACATCTCTGCACCTCTCCCTCTCAAAAAAAGGAGAGCATTACGAAATCACTGACGGCTGGAGTTCGATACGGGCAGTTATGGCGTAAACATGTCGGGCGAAGACGTCAGACGATACTCTTACCATTTGAAAGTGACACTCTAGTTGAACCTACTTTTATTCTTACTTCCGATTATACACAAGGAAGCATTTCGTTGATAAAGTTGCCACATCAAGATATTAACTAAGGATTTACCAAGCATCCCGCTCTTTATCGAGTAAATAAGGTGTTACCAAAATTCCCGCTCACTGATATTTTGTAATAAAGCATTTTTAATCCCCTTTACGTTTTACTTTTACCGCGTTTCTTTGTTACATTAATGTTTTGTTTTGTCACCTCAAACTGTTTATGTCAAGTCTGGTGTAGTTTTATCATATATTTGATAATGTTGTCATTGCCACATCGAAACGTTGTTTAAATCTTTTTTCGCTGAGTGTGTAACGAAATTAAGATTTCATTCGTCGGAAGTCGATATTTAATATACCCTCTAAGCAGCTATAGGAGTAGGTCTGAACCGTCTTCGATAAACTTCCTTGTTGGCTGAATTACGAAACTTTCGCTTTCTAGTTGATTGAATATTGCTTCGGATACGAACTGTTTTTTTTTTTCAACCAAAGCAGAACTGGGCCGTACGAAACAAAGTTTAAAAAAGAATATACATTTTTACAATTTTACCGTGAAAACTTCATTCATTCTTTGGCGAGGTCTAGAGAACACAAACAAAGGATATGAACAAATATGCATATTCATTACGTTTGTTTGTGTCCTTCAGGCATGGCGATAAGTTTCGTAAAAGGAAAATTTTGAATTAAATTTGAACATTGAAATGAGCCTATTAGTTGTTTGCAAAGACAAGCTAAATAGAAAGATAAAAGAGGTACTTACGGTTGTACAAGATTTGCTTCCTTGTCGGTTTTTCATGTTCTTCAGTTATTAAATGCAAACGTTTCCGTAGCGAAGGCTGGGGAACTTTGACAAATACATCGAGGTTTTCCCATGAAATTGAGACCTTCTCTCGTGTGTATTCAAAGTTGTTTAGCGGGCTGCGATTATAATCTCTGTTGCTTGTTGCGTTACTGGTTAAAACCTCATCATAAAGCATGTTGTTCAGACTCTTCGGTTCGGCTAGTGTACGATATACCAAGAGAATAGCAAGTCTCAAGTTACGTCACAAAGAACACAACAATGATCCCTAGGCCTTACACAATAACACAATAAACGTGACACAATGGAACGAGACAACAGTGCATATATTGACTTGGTATATCAAGCATCACCCCTGTGTTCACTGGCCACTTTAATATTCACGAGACGAAGGGTATTCGCCGTCTCCCCGCGACCCTGCGGAGTTACGTAAAGAGGCGATTTTTTGTCACATAGTCTTCACAAGTGACTTATGCGCCAAATATGAATGAAAAAACAGGAGAGGAGAAAGCTCTCTTGTGAAAAATGAAAAATTAAAGCTTTGCTGCCGACAACCTGATTTCGAAAATTACAAAAGAGATTCAAATTCCTACTGTAGCAATAGAACGATAGACGATTACCAGAAAGTAGAAAACTATTTATGTAAGAGGAACAGGAAGTGGGGGGGGGGGGGGGGGAGGGGGGGGAAAATGTATAAACAAACGCAGCGGTGAAAGTAGAGATAGAAATAGAAAGAAGAAGAGGAAGTTAGGTATGGAGGAGGGGGGGGGGGGGGGGGGGGGGGGGGGGGGGAATGCGAGTGAAGGTGCGGTGGATGAGATGATTTTAGAGTGATCATAAACCTTATTCCATATAGGATGACACTTGAGGTCCAATGTCCTCTTAAAAATAGGCAGAAATAAGGTGTATGGTTTTTGACCGTATGTTTTTGACGACGCAAGAAAATTGTATACAACTGCCCAATTTTTAGTAGTTTAGTTGTCTCATTTTTTAAGGCCTTATCCACTGAAAACAGTTAAATTTAACAATTCTCTCTTATGGTTTTACTTAAACAGTCAGTTTCGTTGTCTTTACAGTCTTTTACAGTAGGGATTTGGCAATCACACCCTCTGCAACACCACACCTCCCAGTTTGAATGTATACATGAAGGAACATGCAAGTTATAATTTAAGGAATATCGAACAAAGGAGGCAAGGCTGATTTTACAGTCGGGAATATATAGTTTTTGTCACCATTACTTCAGAAGGCACGGCTTTCCTTCTTCAGTGTCTCACATACAACTATGAGGTTAAGCTAAGACGTTACAATTTGAGATATAGAAAAGCGTGCAATATGATACTATAATCACAACTGAAAATTTAAATAAGAAAAAAGTGAACGTTAAGAGAATATGAAAACAAAAATCGTTGAAGTAGTGATATGAAAGAAATTTGAAATGTAAAAATAATATAAACAAATACAAATGGAAGAAGTAAGCCTGGGCATGTATTACATTTCATCTTTCTTGTTACTTAGGTATTAAAATACCTGATGGTTCAGGAGTTTTGCCTCTTTCGATGAGGTATGCTTCTCTAGCTTTTCGTACACTGTCTCTATTAGATTTATTGAGTTCTAGTGGAATAAGTGTGATGTTTTTAACGGAGTGATCATTAGTAAGAAAATGTTCTGAGATTGTGTTGGGTTTGGAGATAATAGATGGGTTGTCAACTGGTCAGCGGTGTTCATTGAAACGGTCTTTAAGTCGTCGTTTGGTTTCACCGATGTACTGTTTAGGGCAGTGGTTGCATTGTACCATCATGAAAACGACGTTTTAAGAGTTACCGTCGATGTGATGAGTGATAGGTCTGGTTTCACCTGTAGAGTGGAATGTGTATGTCTAAGCTTAACCTCATCACTGTATGTAAGACCCTGAAGAAGGAAGGCCGTGCTTTTCGAAATATTGGTAACAAAACATATATTATATATATATACTGCCCGACTGTAAAATCAGCATTGCTTCTTTTGTTCGATATTTCTATATACAGCTGAGTAGATCCTTTATTAGGATCCAGTCCTTCTTTTTTGTAACGTTGGTCCTTGCTTCCAAAACTGAAACTATAAGGAACAAACACGGTTAGAGGGAGGGGAGTTGGTCCGAAATTGTTCCACCCCTCCATCAGGGTAGCTGAATAAGAAGCGAAACAGCATAAAAGGTAAATTGGAGATTTATCTATTCCTATAAGCATCAATATTGTTGTTATTATTACCACAGCTATCATTAACTTTGCCAAATAAATTTATTTATCGCCTGTTTTCTCCCACAGCAGGTAGTCAGTAGAAAGGTGGTGCGAACATTACTGATTAGTTTTGTAAACTTGCATTAAAATTTTAAACTCTTTACAGGAGTCTGAGATCGCTCGCCCAAGTCAAAAACTTGTTATTTAAAAAAGTTAACAAGTTATTCCTAAAAAAGAGCTGAAATCACTTGCGTCCTTTCTGACCAACCTTTCACTGTCCCGTTGACGATCAAAAACCACCGGAAAAACAAGCCTGCCTTTTGATTGAATCGGTATAAACAAATTACGTCAGCTTTTCTTTTCACAAATTACGAAAAAGTTCTTACAGTTGCGACAGGTAGTACAAATTACGACGAAATTATTACAAATTAGAACAGCTATTTCAAATTACGACAAAACAATCAGTTCAAAGTACAATTTTAAAAAGTTGCAGTTCAATGAAAGCTGTCTGTTTAAAATAGCTCACATGTGTAGTTAAATATAGAATATTTAAATACCTCTTCTTGCTTGTAACAAAATCAGCTTTCCAAAGCATACAATTGAAGCCAGCTGTTGCAGAGCGCTGATTGGGGAAAAGCCCTAGGTAAGCCAGTGTAGAGAAGCAGTGTCTAAAATCAGCTCCGAAAGACCAAGGGCAAATAACGAGCCTGATCATCCCCCCACCCACCCAACCTTAACCAAACAACTCTTAAGACTCGTCTTTGGTCGCGCCTTCACTCAGGCTAAAAGTAAATGGGCATTTTTTGACCAAGGACATGGCTTGTGTGACAAGCACAAGTTTTGAATTTTTGGTTAGTTGTTATAGAGAGCGAGATGGGAACGTGCGAAGGGGAAAGGGGGCATTCTCAACTTTTCTTCCGTCATGCGCGAACCTCGTCGAAATCTTCCTTCGCCCTAAAAAAAAAGCGAGCGCCTGCTGAAAGCAGGTTATAAAGGACAGCGAAATAATGACAAAACATAATTACATTAATTCAATGCGCCTCTGTGAATTTTGATTCCTTTTTCAGATTTCTGATTCCTAATTTCCAATCCGTTCTAAGTCAATTATTTATCACAATTTCTCTCTTCGACTCTGTGTTACGTTGGCTCTAATTTGCAAATTGGAGTGCCGAATATAGCTTGACATAGATTGATAAAATGGGAAAGGGTTATAATTTCTTGACTGGCATGGGTACATTAAAGAAGCTATTGTAAATTTTTAGTTTTTATCCCATTAAATAGGGCTCATTCAAGTATATTTTAGGTCTTAAAATTTGTCCGTCTTACTTTACAAAAGAGTTAAAACTTAAACCATTAGCTTTTAGTCGCTACGTGTCTTCGAGTATTTTCATTCAGTACTTATCGTTTGTCACCTTTTATCTTGTCCGTCCTTCTCACTTTGATGCAAACAAAGATACAAAGCTTAAATTGTTTGCTGATTGAGCAAAAAAAATAAAAATACAGTTTTAAAAAAAGAGGATCAAAAGAATCAAATCTGTCAATGAACACTTGTGCCGATAACAGGTTTTTCCTTGTCTCTCCTCAGTTTAAAGTAGCCTACCTTATTAATGGGAAATTTTATAGGAACTCATTTTCAAAGTGATCAAAATTTTTCGAAACAAAATACTGCAACAACACTGATATATTTTTTGAAAAAAGCTAATAAACAGAAACAGTCTTTACAACTAAACAAATTCCAATTAATTAACCTCAATACGACATAAGAATCTTTAAAATAAAAGCTTAATTCAAACCCGTTCCGACTGTAAGAAAAAAAGACTTTCTGCAGCGCAACGTTGTTTTCCGTTAAATGTGCTACTTCCACCCAACACCCCCCCCCCGTCAAAAATGTGAGCAACGGTAAACTAGCCATATCCACTCTTCTTCAACTTCAGCCATGCATTGCAGCATATGCATTCTTTGTTGAAACCATTCTATGTACTTGTCAGACAGAACTACAAAATCTCCCATATTGGGTTTAGACCTACCTTAAGGCGTGGGTCCAGCCGACGCCTATTTTAAATATCCAGACATAACTAATCGATGATCAATGACATCAATTGGTAATCAATGAGTAATCGATGAGTAATCAGTTGATTAGTCATTGATTATTGGCGATGATCAATAAGTAATCGATGAGTAATAGAAGCCCAAAAATTTTGTGGCCTATCGATTAGTCATCGATTACTCATTGATCATCGGCAATAATCAATGACTAATCAACTGATTACCTATCGATTACCCATTGATTACTCATTGATTTCATTGATGCCATTGATGTCATCGATTAGTTATGTCTGGAAATATATACCAGGTAAAACTGAAACCAAAAATTTGGAAATATTTCTACCAGTCAAATCTTCTGAGTAAAGTTTATTACAAATGAAGACAAAGCTACAAATTACGATATCTTTGCTTACTTAAAATTACGACAAAGGGTTGTTACAAATTACGACAGCTTTAAAAATTACAAATTACATACCGGGCGTAGACCCCGTGGGTGGCGTGGTAAGACTTTATGATGGGCTGGGTGGATAATGAAGGGGTTGATCTCATTTGGGACGTGGGCCCTGTACGTTTCATCCCCTGACACCGTGTTGAGTCACCGTGGCGAATTCAATAAAGGCAGTGATCATTTGGCCCACCGATAACTCCAGAAGTCTTCCTGGGATTTTTGCATTAGTTTGGAAAGGTTTGAGAATCACGGCCCAAGCCTCTTAAATGTACAGTCCAGAAAACAGAAAATGCACTTTTTTCCGTATAAGTAAATCACCTTTATTAATGTGATGGCGATAAACTAAGTCTTATGTAGTCCAAACTATAGGTCATCATGAAACATGAGGGTGCATATTCTTAACGGGACTGTAAAAACCTATACCTAATTCTCAAAAGGAACATTTCGTGTAACTGGTCTCCATACCATTTGTTATTTGATAAACAAATTTGTTTTAGGTTGTTTCGCTTTTACGATTGAGTTTATTCACTCATTCGCCTTGTTAACATGTTCGCTTGCGATTCTTTATAACTTGTAAATAATAATTGTGCGCGCTCACTAATCATGAATTAATCAATATTTGGACTTAATACAATAAAGAAAGTACTTCAAGTTTGTGTACTTATTCTATAACGTTGAGTTACCATGGCCTTTGCCGTCACGTGAACTGATAAAAGCCATATAAGAGAAAAGCCATTCCTTGAATTTCACAAGATAGAAAATTATAAAGTTCAGTTTTCCTTTTTGTTAGTTCAATAACGACACAGCAGTTCAATAAGTACACAACAGATCAATAACCACACCAGTAGTTCAATGACTACACATCAGTTCATTGAGCGTAAACTACATGCAGCTGCGGGAAGAATAGCCACAAATGCGTTAGTTATTTTTGAATAAGAATGCATAGCACTAAGTAAGTGGTAAATACTCATTTAGCTATGGTACGAGAACTAAATAGATAAATAGCTAGAGATAGAAGATAGAAAATTATAAAATCAAATCATACAATCCAACGATTTATTATTTTTCTTGAAACTATTATCCATGGGGCCTAGATACTTCCTCAATCAATATCCGAGACACTGATTCCCACCCAGTGTAAGCATCACTCAAGGTTCGGCTACCACACTGTCCTACCCATAATTCCACTCTAACCGCCCCTTGTGGAATGTTTTCACAGTACCCCTCAAATGACCGATGATTCAGCTGATTATTATTGGTATTACCGGACGGCCAGTGATTGTAGACACGAGCCTCAATCGTCATTGGTCCACTGCATTCGTTTCCATTGAACTTGAAATACCACCGGCTACACCGAATACTACCCCTGACCCTCATGTTTCCTTGAAATGAGACTTTGAGCGATGTATCGGACGCCAACTTGTTGAAAGTACACTCCTGTAAGAGAGAAAAGACGAGTAAAATGTCGTAGTTTCCGACTTTGTGGTGCATAGTCAGGTGTTTGAAGGTCATACAAGGTACGCTTAATAATATACACACTACAGGTATAACATATATTGCATTTAGGTCGGTACAGCTTGTGAAATATGAAGTAGTTCTGTGTATAGTAAGGAAATAAAAGAACCCGCTTAAGCAGGATTAACGTAATTGAAGGATGAGAAGCCTAGTGAAAGGGAACATAAAGCTAATTGCCCTCGTTTTTATTTCTTGAGGTGTACTTCTGCATGGGATACTTGTACTGAGGTCTCGTATAAACCAAAATTCTTATTTACCTTAATCTTTCCGTTATCAGTATCGCTGTTTGATTTCCACACACATTGTTTCCAGTTGGTTTGTGGTACTACACTCGCTTGACTTGCTTTGACACTTTCTCCTTTCTCTCCTTTGCCTCCTTTTCTTCCTTGATTTCCCACAATGCCTCGCTCTCCTTTCATTCCTGCAACTCCTTGCTCTCCTTTTATTACCACAAGTCCCGGTTCACCTTTGATACCCTTTATTCCTGTCGGACAACTCTTCCCAGGAGGCCCCTCGCGCCCTCTGTCTCCTCTTGGACCCGGCATTCCTTGTGATCCCTTATCACCTATTTGTCCTTTTACACCTTCCCTTCCCTGGGGTCCTTGCGGTCCTGGAGCCCCGGGTATTCCAGGCATTCCATTTGAACCTGGAATACCGGGAAAACCATGGCCGAGTGTAGATTTCTGAAAACAAAGATAGTTTCATCACTAGGTATGCGTATAAAATAAGTCATTATCATAAAAATTTCAGTTGAGTGCAAATGTAGCCTTTTGTCTGATTGTGGTGTTCTTGTTCGTCCATTTTGAGGTTGTAAGGTTTGTTAATGTAATGTATCAGTTTCCTTTGCATTTTCTTTATGAATTATTCATGAGTTTGAGAAGGTCGTTTCTAAGGTGCTGGTTAATGCTGGCTTTGATTCCAACGGCGACGTTTGTTCTAGGTAAGTCATCCAGCTTTGTAGAAAAACAGTCATTAGTACTGGGTAGCATAGTTAATATATGAACAGATGAATTTTTTTACTAAGTTAAGTTGACGAGGAATTTTTGGGCCTTTCATAACTGAACTAAACCCGGATTAGGAGAGACCTAATCCGTTTGATTCTATAAGCTAAGGACCATCATGGATTCCAAATACCGTATGCCAATCTATGCCCACTAGGGCTGCCTGGTTGGCTCTCAGTTAGTTGAATAATAGTTTTTGCAGCAGCCTGGGTTCTATTCCTGGTTGCACTAGCTCTCAGGTTTTTCAAGTCATTTGTACCTTTGAGGAAGATGTAGGTGAATGTGTTACCCTGACATCACTGAATGGTTGGACATTCTAGTCTTCATGGATAAGTTCGAAAATTGATAGGTTGTGTCGTGCAACACACTCACCTTATACTCTTATGGAACTTTTAGACCCCGGTGGTGTGGTCCACCTTTCACGGGTGGGGATAGTAGTTTTAAGCACAATAAAATGTCAGATTGTTTTCATGCTGGAAAGCTATATTAATAGAATAATTAAGCCTGCTTTTATACTTAGCATCTAAAGCCAGAAAACACTCAGAAGTTTCTTCCACTTTCATTTCTAACTGATTTAAATGCGCACAGGAATGCTAAAAGACGTAACGTTAAATCGCTATTTTTTCTACTGTGGTAGATTGTAAAGTGCATAATTACAAGGCACAGGGAATACAATTATCCAAGCCAAAACTTGCATTGTTCAATTCACTGCGAGGACCACGTACCCTTCGTTTTAGAAATATATAATACCAAATGAAAACTCATTTTAACAATAAATCGTTTAATTGATGTCGGTGTTCTTTTAGTGGCGTTATTAAATGATAATAAATGATAAAAAAGCTATACATTTGGGTCTGCACTAGCCGAATATGTGCAAACTTGTTTGTTTATATATGATTCACTATCCTTTATTTACTGTCTAGTTTCCCCACACAAGCATATATACGTACAAACATGAAAAATAGAAGAGGATGACCTTTAAACTGCTTTGAATGTGTGGCCAAATTGCAAATTCCATGATTAGACAATTTTTATCGGCACATTTCCAAATTTCAGAAATTATGAACTTTAATCTGACGAAGCTTTTATAACCATGGTGGAGTCATAAGATCTGCGTTTAATTGACCCAGCTACCTTTGGGCTATGAGGGGAACATCTTTAAAGATGAAGGTGCATGTGTACCGCACCATCAACATTTCGCTGATGTTGAACTTCGTAAAGGAAGAGGTTTCACTGATAAATATGTTTTATTTATATGTGGGCAACTTTTCGTGCGACGATTTATGTGAAGAAAGCGAGAGTTTTTCGGAGTAATTGGCCCATGCAACTCTTTAGTAAATGTAGAAATTTATTGTGTGATTTACCTTAAGCGTTGACAGACAAAACTTAGATATGTGGTTGAGCTCGTGTTACCAGAATACATGTGCCAATCATAAAAACGCTTAGTGAGGGTTTAGTCTAGGTGATTTTGTCTTAGAAAGCCTATTCTGTGTTCAAAGGTTGTGGATTCTTAATCTGTTTTCGGCCGACACTTAGTCATTGGTCTCATGGTTTGACTCTGACTAAAAGGTTATAATTTCTGGACGTTTCAAATGTTTTTTTCATCGCCAAATCCTGTTACTTATGCCAGAGATATTTATTTTCTGTTGCCAGCAATAAAAGTTGTCATTGTTAAGCCTTAGCGAGTGACTTTTAACTGCTGTTCATTCGACTTTGATGTCAAATTGTTGAAATGCACTTGAAATTTCTTAAGTTTTAGCAAATCCAAACAGTTATGTTTACACAGAAATCAGTATATTCATGCCAGTGTCATTTATAACATGTCTCATAAGATTTAGTGTAGAAGGTTTTTATCTGTTCTTTTCCTAATTGAGAAATTTTGAACTTGAAGTTGACGACCGTAAACGTGATGAAGATTCTAAATCTTTCTCTCATTAAAAGAATTCTTGGTACAGTTTAAGTGTAAGAAGATTTCTTATTGTTACCATGAACGACAGACCTTTTGAAAAAAAAGTTTTTCTTTCAAGGAGCTAAAAGTTGGCAAAAATTAAATCTTACGAGACAGTTTAAATGTAACAAGATTCCTTATTGTTACCATGAACAACAGACCTTTTCAAAAAACGTTTTTCTTTCAACGAGTTAAAAGTTGGCAAAAATGTTACGAGTGTTTTTCACACTCATTTTTTTAATATCATTTTTGAGCGAAAAGGCGAATACCCCCTCTTAATTCCTTTTAGTTTTTCATTTAACAAGAGGCCAGCTAAAATGCTGAATCAGACTTAATTTAGCCTCATTTTCCGGGGATTATTTTCCGCTTGGAAAACGTTGCGTTTGTTTGAAGTAATTGGAACGGTAGCAGAAAGTGGTAGAGACTACGGGGATAACGAAGTACCCGCTGCTTTGGCCATTTGCTGTCACGTGACTAGATACACGTGAATTCACGTGACACGCTTGACTCACTTTGTTGCTTAGGTGAGATTGTGTGTCACAGTTGAAAACCTTCAGTTCCTTTGCTTAAACCAAAAGCGCTTACTAAAAATGAAAACTCAGCTGTCCAGACTGGTCATCATGAAATGAAATGGCCTTTTTCGAGTGTTTTTGCTTAAACCTTAACTAAGTAATAACAACACGCTTATACTATGCGTGCATTGGACTGCAGTGGTCTAAAATATTTTATGCTGAGTTTATATATAGTTCCTCCAAAACCGGGTATAAAGAAGAGAGGACAATGGGGACAGAGAAGGCATCCCCCATACACACCCTATTTTGTAGGTAATTCGTCTCTTATTTTTAAGACCACACGCCTTCGAGTTCGACCGTCACCAAATCAAGCAAAAAGGCGCCGAAGAAATCAAATAAACGGAACAAGAGTCTTTCTGAAGAAGAGATGGAGCGATTCCCTTTTCCTAGGTGAGCGCCGACTCATTTCGCTTTAATATTCAAGAATGTCTCGATCTCTTTACCCGCTTTCATTGCCTTTCGCCCGACATGTATTGCATGGCGTTTAGTCGTGCGAAACCTCCACGAAAGATCCACGCAGCGCGCGAGGTAACTTTATCCCGATTCTAACAATAACTCGAGACGAATTACCTATGGAATAGGGTGTGTATAAGGGATGCTTTCTCTGTCCCCTTTATCCTCTCTTGGTATAAACAATAAAAATACTTGTTTCGGCTTTCAATGAATGAAAAAAGTCAGGGTCAAAAAGCAGGGACTCCCCCTCAGAAGTCTTTTCCACCACGGCAGGGGAGATAGGACGCGCAATGTCTTCTGGTAGATCCGTCCGACATTTTGTCTTACCTTTTTCGACCTGGACTCGAATCATTTTATGATTGGGCCACAGGCAGCTCAATAATGAGAAATATATTGAACTGGCCGAACGTTTCTGATTTATAGTGACGTAGTCAAAAAGTTGACATAAAATAGGACGTCCCGATCGAGCCAATCTCTTTGGTATATTTTAACATAAAAACGATAATGTTGCGATTGAGTCAACGGAAAATCTGTTCATTTTTAGTTAGCGCAAAGGGGGCTACAAAGCAAAACATTTTCGATTACACACGAAGCTTTACAGTCGTGATTGATTAATACAGAAGTCTATCATTTACTAGTGAAAAATAATAAGGGGAGTGTAGGGGGCTTATTAACTTTCTTCCTCTGAAAAGGGGAACTTATTAGAGAGAGGGAGATTATTTGAGAGCAAGAGCTTCATAGAAGATTTTAAGTATAAAGTACAATTGTAAGAAGTCATTTCCGTTTAATTACATAGGATAGACAACCAAAATCAATACAAGTCAGCAATTCTTTGTATAAATTTTATAATCGACTCCTTAGAATATAATCGGTTTAACTTTTTTAAGTCACCAAGGATTACAGTGCTTGTGGAATCTTGAAAAAAGGAAAGTTGCATGGTCCTTTTAGTGTAAGCAAAGTTATCATTTAGGACTGAGGCCTAGATACTTCTTCTAGTATTATCCTGGACACTGAATTCCACCCAGTGTGCGCACTACCTAAGGTGTGGCTAGGGCACTTTCCGACCCATAATTCTACTCTAACAGTCCCTTGTGGGATGTTCTCACAGTACCCCTCAAATGACCGATGATGCAGCTGATTAGCTGCTCTCCCTGATGGCCAGGCGTTATAGACAACAGCGTCAATCGTCATTGGTCCATTGCATTCGTTTCCGTTGAACTTGAAATACCACCGATTGCATCCACCGGAAGTTTCAGATCTAACGTTTCCCTGGAATGAGACTTTGAGTGCTGTATTTGACGTCAGCTTGTTAAAAGTACAGTCCTGCAAGAGAATAATATATTGTTAAAAAGACAACTATTCTAAAAAAAGCGCTAGTCTCTCACTTTGTCGAGTGAGTGAAGTCATGCAAAAAAAAAACAAAACAAAACAAAACAAAACAAAGAAAACAACAACAACAATAAGAACAGCAACAAAAACAACAAAAACCTTGAGAATATACGCACTACGAGAACATAATTTTATTGACTACCGGATTTCATAGGGCAGTGGGTCGGGCCATTTTATAAAACTTTTATGTACTTTATTATTTTATTAATAATATTATCCATTTTTAAATCTCTGGTGATCCCTCCAATCCGATGGCTCTCAACAGTGTCAGTGATAGTCATGAATTAACCTACTTTTTTGCTCTAAATCACATCTGTTCT